GAGCAGCCCCGCAGAGAGGGACCTGGGTGTCATGGTGGACGACAAGTTGACCATGAGGCAGCAGTGTGCCCTGGTGGCCAAGAAGGCCAACGGGATCCTGGGGTGCATTAAGAAAAGCGTCTCCAGCAGGTCGAGGGAAGTGATCATCCCCCTCTACTCAGCCCTGGTGAGGCCACATCTGGAGACTGCGTCCAGTTCTGGGCTCCCCAGGACAAGAGGGATGTGGAGCTGCTGGAGAGAGTCCAGCGCAGGGCTACCAGGATGATCAGAGGCCTGGAACATCTGCCCTATGAGCAAAGGCTGAGAGAGCTGGGTCTGTTCAGCCTGGAGAAGAGGAGGCTGAGGGGGGACCTGATCAGCGTGTATAAATACCTCAAGGGARGCAGTGAGGAGGAGGGGGGCGGCCTCTTTTCAGTGGTGGACAGCAACAGGACTAGAGGAAATGGCTTCAAACTGAAGCATCGGAAGTTCCACAGGAACTTAAGGAAGCATTTCTTCACTGTGCGGGTGACAAAGCACTGGAACAGGCTGCCCAGAGAGGTTGTGGAGTCTCCTTCTTTGGAGATCTTTAAAACCCACTTGGATGCAGCCCTGTGCCCCGTGCTCTGGGTGACCCTGCGTGAGCAGGGGGGTTGGACCCGATGACCTCTGAGGTCCCTTCCAACCTTCGGCATTCTATGATTCTATATTTTCCTGGAATTGGCAGCACGGGAATGTTCTCCTTTACCTATGCTGTTCGCAGAGGTCTTAACTCCCAGAGAGGCTTTGCAAGAAGAAGGCAGCAGGATGATACTCCTCTCGAGGAGCCAATAATTCTAAAAACTAAGGACTGAGCAGTTAAGGTGTTTGATATACGTGAAGCAGAGATGACAGAGAGGACCTGGTCTGTGTGGCGCTGCCTTACTGCTCTGGATTTGCAGGTGTTGGCTCTAGAAAGCAGGTTGCTGAAAGCAAATACAAGCAGGTTTAAAAAACCTCTCACAAGCCAAAGCTTTATTAGGTTTTTCATCTTTTTTTTCTTTTTTTTGGACATTTCAGATATTTCAAAAAGGCTGCATCACTTCAAAGATGAACCTCGCTTGTTAGAATAACTGTAGAAACATATTAGCCTGTCCAGGCAGAGATTAAGGGTAATGATAAATCAGTGAGAATTAGGATGAAACGTTAGCCAGGGCTTTCTTCCTCAATGAACAGGCCATTTAAATAAGTACATATAAACGTGTGTGYGTGCACGTATATACACACACACACATATATACTCATATATAGACAGACACAAATATATGTTTATTTCTCCAGTACACTCTTTACAGGTGATAACGTTCAAATATTTCCCTACTTGCATAACTTTTTAAAAACGAGCAAAGAAGCAAAAAGGGAAAACAGTGCAAGCCATCCGAGCAAGCCTTCTTCAGAGGAATGGGAATCGGGAACAAATACAGCACCCAGATCTAACCAGAGAACTTCAATAAATTGCTTTGATTCAAACCCTCAATATCCTCAAATATATTAAGTAGCTTTCTGACTTTCCTAGAGCATTAAGCTGTATCAGATAGCTTTTTAAAGGTAATGTTTTTTGGATCCTTGCTTTTTACTAGAAGTTCCCATTTATTTAAGGATGGGAACTGAGACAGCTCTTTGCTAGCTAGTTGATTTGCCCAAATCTTCGAGGGATAAAATTCTACTTCACTTTAATACTCTTTGGTCAAGGAAATCTTTCTACTATACACTCTTTATTAAAGTGCAATCAGCAGCCTATAATCGCCTCCATTAAATTAATAAAGGTCCTTTAAGAGGTATATGCTGTATTCTTTTTTTCCCCTCCATCTGTTGCATGGCTAAGCACAGTTCAGCATTTTCCATCTCTCACCTCCAAAATAGAAACTAAAAATACTACTTTTTTTATGAAAGAACCTGAATACAAACCCCACTTTTTTGGAATCATTTACTATTTGATCTTATAGCTCAAAATGCTAAGCCCACTAATACTTCCAACCAGACTCACACATCACCCACCAGCAGGTCTATGTAGTTTGGGCACATTTACTACTTCGGAAGCCAAGCGCTACACTTCAGTTCRTTAATCCCATCATCCAGAACCTCTGGCCAACAGATGTTTGTAAAACATGATCTATTTGAAGATGTATTTTACCTCTCTCACCAGCTCTTCCCTGTCTGTGAACTGGGGAGCCCAGCTGAAAACACTCGGCTCCAGCAGGACAAGAGCTTGTGTTACGGAGCTAAGGAACGYGCCTTGAGGGGCCAATAAATTAGCCTTTACACTGGGGAAACAACCTAAAACTTGTCAGTATCCGTACCTGTTTGACTCAGGGTTTCCTCATTCATCGCAGCAGATTGAAGGGATAGTCCTCCCTGTCAATGCTATGATGACTTGAAGCCACAGGCCTACAGGAAACTCCAGTAAACGTATTACCCGGTCAGAGGTTTATATGGTCATCAAGAAYATGAGCACATCAAGCACAGCCTTTATCTTAGACTTCAGCTTTCCATAAAAACAACTTTTTAGTCTTTAAAAAACTGAGCTGGCTGATTCCTTGCCCGAAAGAGTCATCTAAAGATGCTACAGAATGAAGATTACGGCCAAAACCCTGAATGTTGCTCATAACTCAGTTTTCTGCCTCCTCCAGACTATCTCTAACCTGCGGAGAGGTCAAAGTCTTCTCAGAAGCTGCTCCTACAGTAACAAAGATTTATGGCAAACGAAACAACGCRCGAGCACATTTCTCTTACCCCTTTACCTTTCAAGAAATCACAGAGGAGCACACACCCTTAGAAAACACAAATCTGCACTGTAACAAGGCTGCACTGCATGTGATCTCCTCCGTCGAGGTTTGGGTGAAACAAGAAAGAAAGCAGCCCACCTGAGCACTGCTCATCTTTGCTGCACTAAAAATAAGGATTTCTTTCAATGTAGAACCCAGGTGGAGCATCAGATTGCAAGATCCAGCTAAAATATTCCTTCTTCTCTACGACACAGGAAGATCTGAGGGTTTGATGAGCAAAGCAGAAGTTGTATCGTGACGCGAACACGCTGAACATAAATGTAAAAGTCAAGGCCATAAACGCAGCAATCAAACATCTAGATAAGGACGGAAAGATTAGCATGCCAAATACAATTACATTTTACAGGCAAGCAGATAAGCATGCAGAATATACCACACTTCAATCACATTCATTGCCCATGTGCTTCCCAACTGTACCTACAGCATCCAATTACACGCAAAGCCTTTTAAAAACCAAGCTCTCGATAAACACAAAGGAAGCTTTTCAGCCATTTACGACAGGAGATGGTAAACTTAAGGGATATCACAGCAAAAACTCCAAACATAGCAAAAAAAAAAAAAACCCAAATCTTGTCTGTATTTCCCCCGGGGCGCAAAACCCTGAAAAAAAAAATTATGGAAACTACAACTTGTCAATAAATAAATAAATAAATAAATAACAAATAAATATGTAAGCTAGATAAACTACCTAAAGAGAGGAATATGTATGACATTTTATACCAACATTTTAGAGTGGAAGATATTTGGGGGCTGGACTAGATGATCTCCAAAGGTCCCTTCCAACCTTAATAATTCTATGATATGTAATGAAGAAACAAAAGGCTTTATCAAAACCGAGACAAGAGGCAAAAAAAAAAAAAAAAAGCAAGCAGCAGTGAGTATAGACCCGTTCTTTTGTTCCTCAGCTGTAGCAGATAGGCCGTGTAGAAAAGAGGCCTCTGTCTTTATTCAAAGTCCCCTTAAAATGATCAATATAGTGAAACTGCTCCGGGAAAGTAACGGGTAAGTGGCTGTTTCACAATGGTCTCTCTCAACTGCAAGAAAATTCTTACCGTGACAGTGGTTGGAAACATCAAAAAGGGATTTTCTGCCCCCCAGGGTCTGCCTGGCCAGCGGGGGTTCCTCCCTAGCCCCTTCCAGCAGGGGCTGCATCTCGCACCCCTCTCCAGACCATCAAAGAGAGCCTTAAACCCCGCGGCGCCCGGAGCCGGTTGCCTCAACGCGCTCCGCTCCCGGGCGCAGCTCCCCTTCTCCCGCACCATCAAAGCGTGGCTGCTGCTTTCTCAAAGGGCTTCTTTCACCCAGAAAGCACCACCTTGGAGAGCAATTTTTCCGCTTCCTCCTTTTCCAAGGATGGGCCCTGCCCAAGGAATCCACCCAAGGCGGCGGGCGCGCTGCCCCTCTCGGCGACACCCCCAAGGCAGCGGCGACCACCGGGTCACCCAACAGCCCAAATTCGTGTCCCCACAGAGGCCTCAGGGTGCAAAGCGGCCCCCGAGCCGCGATCCCGTGGGAGCAACGCCAGGCGCCCAGCCCGGCTCCGCATCCCCTCGCCAGGGCTTCCCCACGTGCCGGTCCCTGCCRAAGGAACGGGGCTTTTCTTCCCCACCTCCACGGCCCTCCGGGATCCATCCCTAACCAAAACCAAGGCCTCCTGACACCCCCTGCTCCCCCAGACCCCCAAGGCCTCCYGACACCCTCTGCTCCCCCAGGCCCCTAACATCCCACCGGGATTCAATAACCCCCGCAGAGTTGCGGCCGTGCAGACCCGGCCGCCGCTCGCACCCCTGGCGTCCCCCGGCCTTTCCCTTCGGCAGCCCCACGTCCCGTCCCCACCAGCCCATGCCAGCACCCAAATCCCCGGCTTTGCTGGAATCTCCCGGGGCCTTTCGGAGCCGCGGGCAGCCCCTCGCCCCCCAGGTCCCCACCTAAGGACGTGGCCCCGGGGGACCCGGCCAGGTTCCCCCAAACCCGTCCSCACGGCCTAGGGGGGACACGCGGAGCCTCCCCAGGTGCCCCCAGCCCCCCGCGCTCAGCCCCCCAAACCGTCCCACCCCAAAACGCCCCAACCCGGCGGCCCTCACCCCCTAATCCCACGGATTTCACCACGGAAAAAGGGCTGGAGAACGCGGCTTGGGCCACGCCGGGCCCGGGGCTCCCCGCGCGGCCGGTGCCGCCCCCCGCTCCGCGACCCACCTGAAGCGCCCCCCGCAGTGCTGGCACCGGTCGCCCACCCAGCCGGGCTGGCACTCGCACTGCCCGCTGGCGGGCACGCAGCGCCCGCCGTTGGCGCACGGCTTGTCGCACTCCTTCACCGCCGCCGCCTCCTCCTCGTCGCCGTCGGCG